TTTTCACCATTCTTCTACCTGATGCTATCAAAATTACCAGGAGAATCGTCAAACACTCTAGAGAAATAGAGGCTTTCGGTTATTTATGTAAAGTGAAATAGAATTGAAAACGTAATCGAACATTATAAGGCACAACAATGCTCTTCAGTGTTTTTACAGGAACCGATAATTCCACCAGATATTTACACTCACATAAGTTATCATCGATACATTCAGTCCAACATAATTTGGTTGATATTTCGAAAAAAGTTACATCATGGAATTCTGGGCATACATCCATCCCACTTTAGACGAAAAAAGCTCTTAAAACGATAAGACTTTTGGCTGTTTACATTTTCTCTGTTTTCCCTTAATTCACATCGGAAGCAAGTACATTTGAACTTTAAAGATCATCCGAAGTCGATAACTTCAGATCAAGTTACTTTAAATCGTCACAATTAGTTTTCTCATTTTTATACTAAATAGCCTATATTACTTGTTGCTCTAGTTGTTAGAGAATGCATTGGCCTCCTGACTTCCAAACAATCTCGGCTTTCATCATGAGGCGTGATAATTGTTCTGAAAGAGGATCCTTCAATTGTGAGTGCAGAGTTTTCTTAGCGTTTTCTTAGCAAGTTTGCTTTTCTATGGGATGAGATGGCTGATATCAGCCCAATGCTCCTGCTTTACCTAGGCTTTGGACCGGCAGTAACCCTGGAAGAGGTACAGGCATTGAAGCCAACCAGGAGGAGGAAATGTGGTTTTGCTGACGTCTTTGTGGGCCAGGAGAAGAGGCACTATTTAGGGCGGCCCGGCGCAAAAGAACTACGTCGAGTATGGTGTTCTGGAAAGGTGGCTTGGCTGCAGTAGTTGAAGTCAGTGGAGAGAGACAGTGGAACGCGTGGCTTCTGTGAGGACATCGTATGTTGATGGCACGGCTGGTCCACATTGCTACAGACGTCAGCACGTGGGTGAGCCAAGCATTTTGACGGGGAGCGTGGTACAGACTGCAACAAAGGAAGTGGCATGGTGCGCAGAACAACTGCCACTTATGTCGACAGACATTAGTATTATGTGACACCAGTCAGAAGTGGTATGTCTGGCAGCAAAAGGTTGTGAAGATCAAATCGAAGAGGACGGAAGGAGAAAGTACTCGTGTTATTGATGCAGGAACGATTACGTTTAAGACATTATTGGAGGATTTGCAAATGAAGTATTGAGCATATGGTTTGCACATTTTACGAAAGAACTCCGTAACTTTGGTTGTCCCCACCTGAGTGTCCACTCGTTACATTTGTTTTTCCGGAAACATAAGTTACAGAGAGTGGACCTCAGTTCACATTGGAAATCTTGAATTTCTGTCCAAATAACGCAATTACTCATACTCGGCCACCGTCCACCATCCACAGTCAAACCGCCAACCTGAGAGTCTTATCGATGACTTCGAGGCGGTTCTCTCCAGTCACAAGGGGAGGGCACAATGAACGAGGTCATTCAGGATTTTCTGAGAGCATACAGAATAATCCCGAACCCAGCCTTCGTGGAAAAATGTAGAAAGAGCAGGGGCTATCAACTCGGAAAACGCTGTGTAGATAGGTTGCTTGTCCATTCACACAAGGCTTATACAGATAAACAGGACGGAGAAGCTCACGCGTTTCGAACTGAAGGCATAAATTGATTATGAGTGAACGCCACGAGTTTACTGGATAAAATGGACGAGCTGCGTGAACTCAGCAATGCTAACAATCCTCAACTGATAGGAATATCTGAAACATTGATATCTTCTCAACTTACGGACTATGAGCTAACAACACCCGGGATGTCTTTGTTTGTCGAAGACAGGAAAACAGTAATGGGAGGTGGAGTAGCCTTATGCCTGCGATCTTGCTTTGAAGAACATCAAGTGCACAACCAAGACTTCATCAATTTTGATGAATCCTCATGGTGCTTAGTAAGACTGTCTACCACCGCCCATTGCTAACATCGAAGACGACAATCGTATGCTGGAAGGACAATCCCGCTCTACTCATCTCCGATTCGCTCATATCCTGATTCTAGGTGACTTCAATCTTCCTAAAGTCATTTTCCGCGGAACATATTGGAACGCATATTGGAGGCGAAAAACCTACTGAGGCTCGGTTCTTTAACCTCACTGAGGATCAGTGATTATTCGAAAATGTCGGTAACTTCTTGAGGAAACAGTAAGATGCCGTGGCTCTTAGACTGGGTATTTACAAACGAAGAATTCTTAATTGACAACCAACCAATGCTGGTTTCCCTAGGAAAGAGTGATCACACCGTCACGGCCTTTAGTTTTATCAGCAAAACTGGGCTAAGACATCCTACCAACAACAGGCGCTGAAATTTCAAAAGGTTGAGTGTATCAGCTTTACAGGACAATCTACAGCAGGTGGATTGAGAAGTTTACCCTCAACTTGATGTGGATGCTCATTGGGATTTCTGACTGTACACACTCTTATGTGCAACAAGGCAGTCTGCTTCTAAAATGATCGCCAAGACCAACAAGTAACGTACAGTCATCACGAACCCCACTCTTCGTTTGCTAAGCCATATAAGACACTGCTGTGTGGAATACGAACGAACTGGTAACAACGGCTCATACAAGCAAAACAATCACTGAGAACATATGCACAAAGGCAATAAGAGATGACAAGCTTTAGTACCAGATAAAGCTTATAGATAAATTTGCCTCCAATCATAAAAGCTCATTCCCTTATGCACTCTCTCTTAGACAAGCCAAAACTGGAGTTTCCCAACTGCTAGGTCCTAATGACCTGACCAATAACCTTTTGGCTGAACGATACTCTCGGACATTTCAACCAACCCACATTAACTATATGATGAAAGCTTCATCTGCAACTGCACAGGACTTTCCTAAGTGAACCTGAACGTTGACTTGGTGTACCGCGAAATGCAGCACCTAAGAAAAGACACTTCTTCTGGTCCAGATATGATTTATTCTGCTATGCTGAGGGAAGCAGCTTCAGTCCAGGCAACACCGCTTATCGTGGTGTTTTCACACTGAAGCTGGCTCACACCACACCAATTTCCAAAGGAGGTCGATGCAGAGAACCTTCAAGCTACCGACCAGTGGCTCTTCTCTCTATATCTTCAAAAATTATGGAGTCCTTGATATACGATGGTTTACACGACTATTTATAATTCCTGGACTTCCTTTCACCCCAACTTCACGGTTTTAGCAAGAGTCACTCTTTTATAACCAACCTGCGGACTGTAGTGGACAGATGGACAACCATCTTTGATGGCAAGTGGAAGGTTGACGTCATTTGCCTTGACTTCTCAGAAGCTTTTGATAAGGTCAACAAGCTCAAACGATTGGGTACTAAATCACCTCTAATTGACTGGCTTATTGCATATCTAAAAAATTGACATTTTAAGGTCAGGTTTAACTTCACTTTCTCTCAGGCTAAGTCTTACGCTAACTGTGACAAAAGTGCCTTTCAAACAAACTTTGCACTGGTAACATTGAAGGGAATTTTTGGCCAGTTTGACAGAAGAACTTTACATATAATCTTCAAAAGTTTTATTCGGCCTCATTTAGATACGGAAACATAGTACTCCCTCCCTCACTCCAAAAGGATAGTGACACTCCTGAGCGTATCCAACGATGAGCCACGAAATCATTTCGAGGACTCAAATTCAAACCTTCTGAAGAGCACCTCCAATCGCTAAACATATACCCATTAGAGTATAGGCATTTAGAGGTGACCTTCTAGTGGTTTGCAGTATCCTTAACACTTCTGGACATCCCTTTAAACATCTACATAAGTTTAGCTCCAAGACAAACCTAAGGAGCAGCACGCAGAATCTAGAGACACAACACAGCAGAAAAAATGGTAGACACAACTTCTACTCCTTAAGAGTAGTCAAGTGCTGGAATTCGCTGACGGATGAGTCAGTTCAAGAGACTTCCCATGCGTCCTTTAAGAGGAAACTTGACCTATTTTTAAAGACCAAGGATAACATCTTACTATGGTTTGCCATTTTTTCGTCTTTTACCGTTAATATACCTAGGTTCTCGCCTTGAGGCATTGGTGACCCATTGTAAGTATATACAGAAGACCTTCAAGCGAACTCCTCTTCTATTCTGTCCAAAAGCATTTGAACCTAATAATGTCTCCTATGCTGAATCAGTGTTCGGACACATGACAGCTCTCAACGACAAGTTCCAATACTTACAAGATCTACTCGAAGAAGAGGAAACTACTGTGAAGAAAAATTCGAAAGGGGTCAAAAATGCATTTACTTCAAGGTGTCAAAAGGTTCTGGAACAAAAGAAGCATCATCATAAGGAATGGATCTCTATCGAAGCCCCTGACAAGATTAAGGAAGGAAGAACAAGAAGAGAGCAATTAACAACAGCCTAACACGAGCAGAGAAAGTCAAAGCACAAGCTGAGTACACAGAAGCAAACAAGCAAGTGAACAGGAGCACTAGAGCCGATAAACAGAACTACGTGGAAGACCTAGCGACGATAGCGAACAAAGCCGCAAGAGAAGGAGATATGAATTAACTATGAAACACAATTGGGAAACTGACAGGGAAATATAGTAGACCAGAGAGGCTGGTCAAAGACAAATAATTCAAGTCAATCACTAAGATTCAAGAACAGAGAAACAAATGGGTATAACACTTTGAGGGAGTTTTGAATAGGCCAGCTTCACTGAATCCACCGAGCATCGAAGCAGCACATACAAACCTTCCTATATATGTCACTTAACTAACGATCGAGAAAATAAGGATGGCCGACCATCAGGCAATCAAAATTGAGAAAGCAACAGGACCCAACAAGAGTCAAATAAAATTTTGAACCGCAACAAGTCACACATATTGAGCAAGCAGTAATGTATGCTAAGAAAGTAATAAATAAATTGCTCAGCTACATGGATTATATTTCTTTTTACCCGCCATTAAACGTTGTCATGACCTTGTCGGAGCGCTCGTAAATTTGAAGTCACGTGTCTCGTTGTTGTTTGCAGATTTCGCCGCTAAATGTAAGTGGATCCTATCACTTCACTGAATTACCAATTTTCTACCTCCTTTATGTGCCCTATCAGATTTTCATATACACTGAACTTCGTATCACAGCTATGGCTTCTCATTTGACAGATTCTTAATCGACATTTTTCACAATGTTATTAATACGAAAAAATCATTTGGTAGTGACCGAACACTAAGTTCACCCAAATTCTATGGATACTTGCCCTAGTTATCGTAGGGTTTTTGTGGGGAGACTACAATTTGTTGACGACCTTTGGGCGACGCTAGACGAACCTTGGAACTGTCGACCTAATGACCAGAACTAAATGAAGGTTACAAACCTGTGTAAAGAATTAGAATTATGGTTAACAGACAAAACTAGACTTAGGGTTTTCATCACGAACTGAAATCAGCTATAGTGCGAAAACGATTCAAATGAATGAGTGATTTTCGCTCCAAAATCCGAGACCTGTTATCTTATACGTAATTCGTTCGGCCATAAATTATAGTCTCGCCGTATTTGTGGGTTCCCTCCTCCCCTTATCCAATGGATATTCTTGGTACAAACCAGTAAAATTTTTAAAATCACTTGTCACATTTCCTCAAAGGTTCGATGGGACGTCTCGGAAATTCTCCAAATGTCCCGAGGGTAAGACTAATAAATAGGTGATCTTTTAGCAGCGCTTAAATGACCTCAGCCTAAACTCCTATTTTGTCCACCTGATTCAAACGGTTGCAGTCCTCTCGTGGTCACTGGTTGTTAGTTGTGCTGTGATTTTTGCACTGCTGGTGTTGTCTAGTGTAGTGAGAATCTCTACTAAGTTCTCTTCTAAGTAAGCTTCCTCCACTCAGTCAATGCTGACGTTGTCTCGCATCACGTTCTTGTCAGTGGTATTGTGATTTAATCCACGATTCCAAGCCTTACATGATCTGTAATGAGCCACATCAACAGGTCGGCGTGTTGAATCTCACTGTACAGAAACGTATTTACTATATCAGGTTCATCGTGGTCGGTTAAGTGGAGGCTTTACTAAGACTACAGCATTCGTATTTCGGTTCATGAGGGAAGTGTATCTCCATATTCAGTGAAGAAAATGAAAGATCTACGAGTTCTCTCGCGAGTCGGAGTTATTGTAAAGAAGCTCAGCTACATGAGATCCAACGTTGGTTTTCATTGCACTAATGATTCCGAGTAAAAAGAGTGAAAAAGTATCAGAAGGTTGTTAACCGTCGGTAGGATCGTTCTACCAAACGACTAGCTTGTGTGTGGTAGGTGGTCGTTCATTGAACACCAAGAACTCACTCATTTCAATGGGATGTAAACAGACTATATATATATATATATATATATATATATATATATATATATATATATATATATATATATATATATATATATATATATATATATATAGTTAGATTATCTGCATACTTAACCAGACTGTTTTACATGAAATTTAGTGGAAAAAATGAGAAAAGAAAAACAAACAGCTTATGGTTCACCTTCTTAGTAAATATGTAAAATACTTTCATCCAAGCACAGTATATTGTTCTCTTCCACAGAGGTAGAAATACAACCAGTTGGTTATCCAGCTGTCGAAAGACACTGGCAAACTTGTTTAGCAGTAGTGGTATTGGAATAGAGTCAGAGGTAAACGTATAGTCTAGAAATGCGCATCGAAAATGCTTCTAACTTTTCTATGTTGGACACTGTATTATGATGCAGAACGACAGCAGCATCCATGGTACTTCTTTTGTATTTGCAAGCAAACTGTTATGTGTTGATTTACTCTTTTAATGTAGGCTGAGATAGGTGTAGAAATAGTTTTTCTGTTGTTTTGAGAAAAAGTTAGCCTATTGCTGTCGGTCCAAATTTTGCATTTTTGTCACCAGACACTTTCTTTGTTATTTGGATTATCTTTTTCCAGATTTATAATATGGAATTCGTTTAGAAAGACTTGTTAAAAATGCTCGTGAATGAACAACACAAAACGTTAGCATATTCCAAAAGATTTAAGATTTTACCAGGTCCTAAATATTCAGGAGAATTGAGTGACGAGATATTTTCAATCAGTTTCAATACAAATTGAAACACAACACCTCTTCAAACTTGTAGATTTTGGAAACATAACATCAGATAATGAGCGCAAAAAGACTCATTTACGTCACAAACATTCAGCCGGCCATCATCACTAATGTCTCTCACTTGTAAGCTCTTTAAGTAGTTTCCACATATTTAAGGAGTTCTTGCAAGATTAAAGTTTCTACGTGAATATCAAACTTAGACGTTTAATTTCTTGGCTTTTTAAGCCATTTTACTTTCGGAATTCGGTTACGTTTTTCTCCTTATACATTCTTTTTCTCTCCCATAACTGATTATGTGGTTCATGAAGTCGTATGAATCGAGTGAAACTAACAATTCCTTTAAATATTATTTTATAACGCTACGTTCACTTTCTTTAGTTAGTTTTTTGTCATGTTAATTTCAGTCTTAAAAGACGTGGCCGTACCTACTTTGCTAACATGAATCGTGTACTTTCCAGTCAAGTCATTCGTAACCCAAACCAAATGTTTAAGCAAGGTGGGAATTCATTTGTGTTAAACTAGTTCATACTCTTAAGTTCTTTCAAGAGTTTAGACGCGAAAAACATTACTGTGCTCAACAAAAAATTATGACTACGTTTTTTGTACTATGACTGAACTGACTATGTATATTGCTCAACACTAACTACCATATTGCGGTTATAGAAAACTTGATTTTAATTTTTTAATATGAATTTGTTCTCAGCTAGAGTATTATACATAGCCCCCAGAATACTTGTTGGACCTTTTACTCTCCTACATCTACAGCAAACGTATTCGGTTAATGACTGCTTAGAATGGTAGGGTTTCAAAAAGATAGATGTATATATATTCAACAGAATCTCTGATAAAACAGGAGTATAACCCTAGTACTTTTAGTTCAGCACTATAAGTCATATGAAATTAAACAAATATCCTATGCTTCATGTACTTCTCTGACTATCTAGATAAACTCTCAGTGTTTGTTTTTCGTTCATCTTATTACAGGAAAAATGAGAGTTGAAACACATCATGCATTTTAATCACAATTGTTTAAAACAGGGAACTAAACTCCCTGTAAACACCTAAATCCTGATAGACATGTCTTGGGTACTAGAAACGCTTCATATATTTAGTCACGTTCACTGATAAATTACATGGTATTAGCCATATTCATTAAGTGGAAACTTTTCGTTAGTTTGTTTGGATAAATTATTCTTATTGTTGTTTGTCTGTAACGAAAAATGATATGTTAGTTTTTAGCACAAAGATGTTGTTTCTATTATTTGATATGTTTATCTACCTTTTTTAATTAAGTCAATATGAGACAGTCTAATGGTTAAAACAATGTGTAAAACTGAGTGCAGACGAGTACCATATTAACCAATAATTGTGAATCAAATTCCGACAAAGCTCAATTATTTCTGCTACTAGATATTTCAGGTTATTTTGCAAGTACATAGTTTTTTGTGCGACAAATGTTGTATAGTGTAATAGGAAACCAGTGTTCACAAGCAAAATTGTCTGATTCATATTGACCAAAAGTGAATGTCAACAAATAATTTTGTTTTGTTTTAGGTATGTAATTTATATCACGTTGCTTGAAGAGAGATTGTATGTAATGAGCGTAATTGTCGAGAATAAAGAATAATCTATCTAATTTTTTCGTATTAGTCTTGTGCGGTGCAAGACTACTCTTATATCCTGTCTCTGAAAATCAAAGCTAATTGTTGTCACTCTGTTGCTTGATAAAGACTACAAATAGTAAATATCTGGGAAACCTAATGATAAGTTACATATCAGCTCGTCTTCAAATTGACACGGCATCCGATGTCATACTAGTGTCTAGAGAAAAGTATGACTTGCTTGAGAGACCGTCAATCAAGCCATCTAAGAAAACTGCTAAAAACGCATCAGATGGTGTGCTAAAACTGATTGATGAATTACAGTGTGAATTTTCTTTCAATGGAACTAACTGTACAGGAATATGTTAACTAAGAGAACGGCCAAACCTTGATCTTCTTGGTCTAGATATTCTAGAAAAACCTGGTATAATGGATATACCCACTAACAATGTCTGCAACCTATCGTGTTCTTCATTGGACACCCCGGCACTTACAAAAAAAGACAGGTGAAAGATCACTAGAAAAACCGAAGAGAAAATTTGCCTCTGTTTCCAGAATAGCCTTGGCCACGGTACCAAGATGAAAGCTCACTTGCCATTGAAGCCAGATGCCAAACCTGTTTTTCGTCCGAGACGTCCTGTACCATATTCTGCACTCGAACTAGTCGACCAGGAACTTAATCGCTAGCAACAAGCTAGTGTAATCCAACCAGTCAACTACTCTGCATGGGCCTCACCGATCGTATTAATTAAAAAAGCCAATGGAATTATGAGCATATGTGCCGATTTCTCAACCGGTTTAAATGCTGTATTGGATGTATATCAGTTACCAGTTCCTGAAGACTTGTTTGCCAAGCTTAATGGTGGAACATATTTCGCGAAAATAGACTTCTCCGATGCCTATCTCCAAGTGGAAGTAGATGAAAATAGCAAAGAGCTTCTGACCATTAACACTCATCGAGGGTTATTTTAATACACTCGTCTACCATTTTGCATCACGACCGCAACTGCCTTCTTTCAGCAAATAATGAATACGATGCTAACAGGTATACCTGGTACAGCAGCTTACCTAGTGTTAGCGGGACATAGACTGGATTAAAGCATGCTCAATGCATGATTGCTTTGGTGCACGCTGATTGGCTAATTCTTATCCAATCAGCACTAGTCGATAGTTGGAGAATACTCTGGAATCTTCTTATGTAAAAACTATAAATATACTAACGTTTTCCCTATTGTGCTTCTGACGTGCTTCTTACTTCCATCTAACCTTGTTATTTGGAATATAATCTCTTTCCTGTTCAACCGTGTTTTGATTTGGGGACTTGTCGA